CTGGATTAAGAAATATTTTCTAAAACCACAGATCCAGTGGCACGTCCCAATGTGCCAGCACCGCCCTCCATTTCCAAACACTTTTGAGTTCTGGAAAACATCAGAAGAGAGAAGATGCTTGGGGCTTCCAAATACATTTTAAATTCCCCACTCCCCTCCACACCAAATCAAATTCCAGAAATCAGAATTAAAAAATAACCAAGAAACGCAATCTTGGCAAAAACAAACTCTCAGCACAGGCCAATGTGCAGTCTCACTTCACACTTACTCATTTTCAGGCTCGTAGGCTTGCTGTAAAGCCTGTTTCTTTGGGGACAGAGGAAGAAGCAGTGAGCATTTGGATTCAGAGCTAGGCTCACTTTACTAGGGGTCACACTGCTGCACAGTGGGTCTCAATGCCTTTGACAGCCTTGCATCGGGAACCTGGTGTACTCAACCCCGTCTAAGGAGATGGAATTGTTCAGCATAATTGTTTTGAACGTCCAGCTTCCCTCAGAGAATTCTGTCTGCTTCTTTTTAATCCTGGAGTCACTGAGTGATCGGAGAGGGCTCTGGAAAACGTTATCCATTAACAATCTAGAATCCATTCTCTTCCTCCGGGGAAAAATTAATGCAGGAGGGAATGTGTCCAAAGACAGGCTTTTCTCTCCATTGCCATAGTTACTTGGCAATTAAACCCTTTCAATGTAATATTGAATATTTATTATTGTATGACTCCAGGGTGACGTTTTGAATATGCTGTTTGAAAAACCTCTTTTTACATTTCACAGCCTAATGTGCACTGTTTCCCTCCTCCCTTCCCACTTCCTTCTAGCCTGGTTTGTGAGCATAATAGATGCATATATGAAAGCACAGAGGAGACGGGGGGCAAGAAGCAGCCAGAAAGCCTTTCAAAATCCGTAGCTGCCTTTAAGTTAGCAGAGGGCCAAATTCTAGGCTCAGGCTCCGTGTCAGCCTCCAAGTTAAGCAGGTGTCTAACTTGAATTGTATGCTCCATCAATGAGAGTACTCACATGCTTAATTAGGCATTTGCTTAAGTACTGTGCTGATTAGTTCTTCAGTCTGTACACCTCCATCACACAGCCAGAAATGACAGAATGTGTCCACCAGGCTTTTGCCCCCTGGAGCGGTCACTCCAGCTTCACTTTATTATCAAGTGAGGCTTCCATTGAGCGATCCAGTGTCTCACTCAAGAGCAATTCTGTTGTCTTGCAAGATAGACAGGTGCGTACCATGCAGATGAACGGACATTCCTGGGTAGGGTCTGAAGGCGTGGCCAATATATATTTCATACATGTGTATTGTGTGTCAGCAGTGAAACTTTTGGCACAGTCCTTTAGATCATGCCTTCAATGGGTAAGCTCCTCAAAGGGCTGGCCATAATCAAAATATCATCACTTCAGGTGCTATTGTATCAGGTCTTGCTCGAGGTTCACCCATATTAGCCAGAATTTTGGATACTCCCCTCCCCTTTCTTTAGAATACAGATCTATTTCTTTTTCAAAATCTTTTTACCCTGGTTTCTGCTTTTGCAGCATGAGATGGAAGGAGGAGGCAAGTGGACAGGAGGAGAGGGTGAGCATTTCAGTACTTTATGGTTAAAAAAATTCCAGCCAACTTTAATATCCATCAGAGCTTGAGCTTGGACATCATATGGAAGTCTTGTAAGACCTTCTTTTATTTGAGCTGGCCTTCAGCAAGTGGGGTTAAGTTCTGGGGCACTGTCTGGGGAGTTTGTTCTATTGCATATTATTTAATACTTGTATGTGTCTTTGTAATTTCTCTGAATGTTATTGTAAGCTGCTCTGAGACTCTTTCAGGGAGGGCAGCATATAAATCTAATAAATAACTAGCTTTTCCTAAGAAGAGCGTATGGCCCTTTGTTATTGTATTTGGCATCACTTCAAAGATCCCTGTAGCATCTCTCTGCCTGGATTGTGTTTTACAGGATTGTACTGACTCCTAGTTTCCTCCTAATCTCCCCTTTTCCAAAGAATGAAGACTTATTTCTCCAATATTTTTTCAATAATATTAATCCCCTCCCACACACAAATCACTTTTGCCAAGAGCAGCAGTAATCTGCATAGGATACAAGAGTGTAGGAGGCATCTGCTTGACTTGGTTCACACACCCTCATAGAGAGGCGTCCATCCCTTTAGGGAGAAAGATCTCTGCACAACTTTGGAAAATATCAGAATTGGGTGTTCTGTTTTCATCCTCGCTCCTCTCAAGGATTTTCACGCATGGTTACCAGCATTAGCTGGCAGATACCAATGCCTTCTTCACTTTGCGTTACAAACTACCAACCATAACAGACAAATGAAAACCAAACCTTGAAACCAACCAGCTCACCAATCGAGAGAGACAGAAAGAGAGACAGAAAGAAATGCAGACTTGCAGACAAAATTCTATTCTAACTCACCAAGGGGAAATCATTTCTGATGGGGGAGTAAATTGCCATTTACTCTTTTCGTAGTGATCATTTTAGTGGTAATGAACAGGGATATTTTGTGCCGGGGCTAATACATTTTCATGACAATTTTGCAAGGCTGATGTAACGTTCAGCAGTACGCTGTATTGCTAATTATGGTTGTCAGGTAAGGCTGAATGAAGTGGAACTTTGGAAAATGGAACAAGATGTATAACAGCTGGCTGTATTAATTTTGTTGCAAGCTGCCTGTGCAATGATTGTTAAGTTAGCACCCAAACTTCTCAGTCGGGAAGTGCACTCATAACAAAAGACTGATTTAAGCATTTGTAGCTCTCCTGATCAAATATTTCACTCTCTCTTTGCTGTGTATCTAAACTGCAGTACGATGCTTCTCACTTTATTTGATCTGCACTATGCTGGGATAGTACAAATCAGAAACGAACCAATCTGTTGTATTGATAGCTTTCCTAATGAGTAAGCCTATACGTGGCTGCCATTTCCAGCTCTGTAAATGAGTGTTTTCCATTGGTCCACATCAGCAGCTAATTCCATACAGATTTAACTAGTGAACCATGACTAGACCCCTGCAATTTTGTTGGCTGGCATATTGGCAAGCTCCAAATAAAGCGCAACGTGTCAAGGAAAAAGTAAAGGAATGGAAAGTTTTGTTTCTCTCTTTCTGCTGCATTTAATCAGCTTTCCCTTGATTCTTTTTTAATGACAAGCTGCAGACATCATTAGTACAGTCAAGTCTGACAAGAGTTCTAAAAGCTAACCTCATTCTGGCTAACGCTGGTTTTGAAATGCTTGGTCTGTAAAGCTGTCTGCACTTAAGTAAGAGAGAGAGAGAAAGAGAGAGAGGCAGGAGGACCAGCCTTAAATAATACAATACACCCAATACATCCATCTTTGGACAATAGATCCAAAGAGGGCACAGTGCAATATTACTGGGACCACAAGTCCCAAAATGCACTTCTATGAATTCAGGGTTTCTGATTACCTGGAAATCCTGCTCTGAGAAGACATGCCTGACCTCCTTAATCATATTCACTGAGGATTTAATGTACATCTCAGCTGAGAACAGGGAATCCTGAGTTCTAGTCTCAGCTCCTAAATCTATTTTTACATGTTAGGTGAAACAATTATTGAATAAAAAGGCAAAAATACCCTTAGAAATAGGGAGAAAAACTCAGCTGAGTGTCTTAACTATTGGGCTATGCAGTGAGGATGGTTCTGGCTTGCTCTTCTCTCTGGCTCTATGAGCCTTACATCTTTTGCTACAGAAGGGGCAGAGGTGCTCTCATCCAGTCTAGCTCTTAGCTTGGTGTTTACTGTTTAGACACTTTCCTTGGAAATGAGATCTTGTAGGTTTGAGGCCCCTCAGGCTGAGGATGGCTTATAATCCATGCCTCCCACTTCCTGGGCACTTGCTTTAGTCCCTTTCAGCACCAATTCAGGCACCTCAACTACAAGAAGGGATGGAAGTTCAGACAACGGGGAAGTGAAGTTCAGACACCATCTGGTGCTTAGCATTTTTTATGCTCCTCAACACATCAGGTTTTTTTGGAGTACCTTTCTGAGGTACCTAACTCTCCCTATTGGAAGTGTAGGTACCTATAGGTACCTAACTCTAGGCTTTGGATTGCATTCTGGGGGTTAAGCTCCTAAAAGGTAGGCATTGTGGTACTTAACATGGAGGCTTATAAAGCCCTTCTTTGGATCTGGCCCATATTCTAAAATGCACGCTAAAACTTAAAATGGCATGGAGAAGGGCAATGCTGCACTGAACAGGGTCAGATGACCTGATGATAAGAAAGTCCGAATCCCGTTTAATCTACAGCTTCCCCATGGCTATCAGTGATAAAGCTGCCTCAGCAGTAAAATACGGAATCTCAGTTTGGCCTGTGTACACACATCCGAGGCTGCTAGGTTTATTATCTTCTCTGCCATTAACTAAATGGGCTTTTAAGGCAAACAGGACATCTGCCTGGGTGTTGATGGAGTGAAAAATAATATTCTGAAGTCTGTTTTTAACATTTTTGCAGGGGAGGGAGGAGCCCCAAACCTGATACCTCCTGGACAGTGTGTTGGTTTTTATTAAACGTGGCATTTTGATTTACTCATCAGAGACTGCAGTGAATGGGAAAACTGTTAAAAGAACAGATTTTACATTCCAAATGTATCCTAGGTAAAGCTGTTTCAGAATTAGCCGGGGTGGAAAGTATATTCTTTCCTATTCATATGCTGTTTTGCTACTGTGTACAAAGACTATCTCCATAGCGAAAGCTATCGGTGGGGCGGGATGTGGAATTCAAAACCACTGGGTAGTCTTGTAGGTACCTCTGAACCATGATTTTTCCTTTTCATATTTCCAAGAAGCACTCAGGTTCTTGGCCTCGAGCCAACCAATGTCACTGGTTTACCAATTCTGAGCAATAAAAACCACTGAAGCGACCTTTGCAAGGGCTAGAAATTAAGGATCTTTTAGCAAAAAACAAGCGACCTTTGCAAGGGCTAGAAATTAAGGCTCTTTTAGCAAAATCCCCAAACTGAATTGTAACACAACTTCACGAGAAGCCATAACATAGGTTCATATAAAGTTCCACAAGCTTAAAATAAAATAAAAAAAAGATATTTGGGTACTTTGACTTCAAAAACACAGTTGTTTTTTCTTTTTGCCTTTATATATGGAGAAAACATTGCATTTAAAAAACAAGCACTTTTTTCCCTCTAAAATCTCAGATCCAATAAACTCTCCAATTCAGTTTCTTTGGTTCTTGCTAAACACTGGAATAAAAAGCATAGGAAGCATTTTGTTGTATATTCAACATATGCAGGAAGATTAAATGAAAAGCACATCGTGTCAGACCACAAATGTTTTGCAAAGTTCTGGCTTGAAGTGAAAAGTACTTTGTTATGCTAATAAAAAAAAGTATTTATCCTTTTGCTTCCTTAAATATAATCAAGTATACAGGGAAACCACATGTATTTTATAGACACTGATTGCAGGATCAAAAGCCCTCTTATTAATTGCACATGAATCTGATGTTGTTGAGCTGTTAAGCTGTCAACTGAAATCACTGTTTGGCTCCTTCGTTTATATTCCCCTCATTTTTAAGACACATAATGTCTGACACTAAGCCCATCAGAGCACATTCTGTTTCTCTTATGGTGGATGTTCCCATGTGTGGGAAATGCTTGCAGTTGACTGAATCCAGACCCAGTGAAACCAAGCAAGGTGCTGTTTCTGGAGGTGATAAAGCAACTAACCCACCATTGTTCTGTTCTCTCCGTCTAGTGTACAGAGCCACCAGTGCCTTCTGCATCTGTCTGCTGCAGCCCAATCTAGTGGCAAAATCAAAATCAGAAGCGTATTTTACTCTGGTCTTTGTAATCCGTGCCCAGCAGCATTGACAAATCCTGTTGCCACTGGATGGTAAGGAATTTTCACGATCAGCTTCTTATCTAATTAAATGTAAAGAGATGAATAACTTCTCATCCGTGGAACTCAAAATGCTTTACAGAGGGAGCTGTCATCCCCATTTTATGGACAGGGAAGCTGAATTACAGAGGGGCCAAGTTATTTGTCCAAGGACAGACATGGAGCAAAGAGCACAGTGGGGAGCAGAATCTATGTCTGCTCTGAGCCCGTTGCCTCCAGCTGAAATCCTGCTGGGCAACCTCTGTCCCCTGGTGGAATCCAGCATCTAGAGAGCACAATGTGAGTGTAACCTCCTACCGTTCTTTATTTAGTAGCACTTTGTACTCACTTTGCACAGATGTAATAACTATACAGAGTGCAGAACAGCCCAGAACCTGGTCCCTATCTATAAGCTCTCTGTGCTCTCACAAACTCCCGCTGCTAATAGTGTTTATCCATATTGCCTTCTGTCTCCTTCATTTCCTCATCCTGCCTTCTGGTTGCCAGAGAGACTGCCGCCTCAACTGCCGGTTGTGAGGCATCCTTTGCAGGCGACCCTACCCTGAAGTTTCTTCTCCTGGGTAATGTTTAATGCTGGATTTCATCCTGTTCTTTCCTTTGTTTTCTTCAGGTTTCACTCTTTGGTACAGCACCGTGTCAGTCCCAGGAATTTCCTTGACCAGAGACTCGAAGGATTTCCAGTTTCCTCTTCTCTCTGCTCCAGCTGCGTCTCTGTGACCTTTATATTCATGTAGGTACTACAAGAGAACTGCATAAACTCATCTCAGTGTCTACTTTCAAGAACAGCAGCAAATCACTTCCGTTGAGAGAAAGCCAGTCATTGGCAAAGGTGATGCTACTGTTATTCCTCATATTGTGCCTTTAATCTGTGCCCTTTAAAAACCGTTATATGTTGATTTATTAATATTATTGGTTCCACAAAATCATAAATCCCTGTGGTATTTTATAGGCAATTCAAAAAACAATATAGGGACAACAGGATGCACAAGGGTTGCTTCTTCAGCCATGAAGTGCAACCAGCTCTAGGGAGGAACACAACTGTTTAATATTGTTGCAAAGTAGTTTCTGTGCAACGTGGAATGGAAGGCAAAAATCCTGTATCCAACTGCAAACTACAAAGGGAACTTAAGCCAAGAGCATGCCACTGCTCAGTTTTGTATTATTACCCCAGCACCTTGCAGTTAACATCATATATATTCTTGGAAATTAATACTGTGCGATTTTTAAGGGTACCAAATTAGAAAGCCTTTTAAAATATCTCATACTAAAGGCAACACCTTTAGATAGTATACCACTTGGAACAGTTCAGTAACAACGACGTCACTTCCTCTTGCTCTGTTTTGGCATTTCTTGGAAGCCTCCCATTCACCAATAGCCCTAGTCCAACTTCGGTTAGCTGACAATCGCAGAAAATCACAGCAGAAGGTGGGATGGCTGCAACCACAGTTACATGCACAGACTCGCCCCTTATTCAGACATCACCCACACTGCGATTACAGCCCACCAGAAAGAGTCTGGTCCCACATTTTGATAAACAAAAAAAAAAAAAAAAAAAGGGTCTCTTAAAAAAAAAGAAAAAAAAAAAAAAAAAAAAAAATCTCTCTAAAGCATGCCCTGCCATAAACAAACAGAGCAAGCAGCTGGTCCTCATTTGAAGAGATGTTCCATCAATCTGAGCAGGAATTTGCAGATCATCTTAATGCAAATATTTTTGGGAAAACAGAAAGCAGCTGTTTATTCGTCTTTATACCTATTAGCAGGAAAACAGAATCCAGGATGCTTGTATTTCTGCCACTAAGGAAAACATCCTCTTGGCCTCAACATTCGTTTGGATTTTGGAAATTGTTTAAAATACACCCGGCTGCAGTTTCTCTCTCTCTTGCTGTATGTTCCTTTGCTGACCACAGAGGCGCAATAAGAGCCTGAGAGCAGAGAGAAGCTGTACAGCAGATCTGCTAAATTAAAAGCCTAGTAATCTTTGCCTACCTCATATGAGTGTTTTGAGGCAAGAATGAGGAGGTCAGATTATTATGCAAAGTGACATAGCGCTACTGGCTTCAGTGCAGCTCTGCTGATTTACACCAATATAGACTGGCTCAGGGAATCCAGTGCTGTCATTGTCAAAATGGAAATCTGTAGCTGTTTAGTGCATACTGTTTGTTAAATTCACTAAAAATGGGCACTGGCAGAGCTGCGTCCTTTTGGTAAAGTACTAAATGGGAGCTAATATTCAATAGCATTTAGATTCAAGTCATGAACAACTGTGATAACATATTAGGGTAAAATCAGAGCTACCCCCTGGTCATTTCCTGCCAGAAGGACATATGCACATAATATTACATGGAAAAATAGAAGCCATTCATCTGAAAATACACAGTTTCTGTTACAATCTTCATGCAAGTGTTGCACACACCATTATCAGAGACGCTCATGCCAGCTCCCACGACATTACATCAGACAAGGAAGCATTTTGTGACTCCTCTTGTCAGGATTTCCAGTTTCCATAGAGCATGCTTCCAGGCTAAGAAAAATAAAGGAACAACAAGAGGGTTTTTGGCTCATGTTAGGGCCAAGCCTGCAATTCAGATGCCAAAAAACACCAGCAGAGGGTCCTCACAAACCTGGCACTCAAGCCCTTCTGAAACATGGGCCAAACAATTGTTCCAAGAGAACTATAGAGGAAAATGTTGCCCCATAATGGAGTGGATTCTCCCCTGGGGGTAACTCTACGGACTTTAGTTGAGTTACATCTGGGCATAAAGTCAAAACCATGTGTCAGCAGTGATTCACAAATACCAGCACACAGAGGCCAGATTCAGGATCAGTTTTGGCTCAAATAACAGGATTTAATAAATCACCTGAAACAGTTAATTAATTGTTATTTTGCTGGAAGCAGGGTGGAGTGGAGTGGTGATGTACTTTACTCACACAGACCTTGAGACTTCCTGATTTTCATCTTCTTGCATTTGGGTCCCCATATTACAAGCACTGTAATGCACCAAAGACCCGCCTAACTTTAACCGGGTACTTGCATGCTTGGCTGAATTAAGGCTTCTATTTCTTCATAAGAATGATGGGTTGCCTATGGAATGAATTAATGTTCCCTCTACGTAGCTAGGAGCTATAACTTGTGCTCCAGAATCTAAGCATAATTAATATATATTATAGGCAGCACAGACAGTGACATTTATTCTTCAAATTACCCAACACTTCCTATTGTAAGATCCAGTTCCCATCACTTTGCCAAAATGCTAGTGGCTTGCACTGGAATTTTCTATGCTAGGTGTTTGCATCAGGCTGATTTTTTTTGGAAAGGTTTTGTTAAATACTTTCAGATATTCCCCAGAATGAGATTAAAGGGACCTCTTGTGCTCTGCTCATGTAAAAATCATTCATACAATTGTTTCATTGAGAAGCTGTAGTACCTTAATGCTTTGAAGCAGAGGCTTACAGTTTAGCACATGGTGTGGTCATCAGGTGTCAGGGATATGCCTTTTGATGTTCCTGGGGTGAAAAAAGAAAACACATGAATTTATCCCAGTTATAAACTTTGAAAAGAAAAAAAAAAAACAACTCAGCTCACACCTTTTCGGGAAAGGTTTGCTAGAGTCTGGCAGCTAAATTCCATGAATGTTTCATCTGCTCTGAAAAAGTTTTATTTTGTTTTAGCTCCTACATGCCTATGGAGCTGAGCATACTACATCCCGGCAATTTACGGATTAAGCAGGACTTTCCCTAAAATTGCATCTTTAAACTGCTTTAGAGCCAGATACCAGGTCTGAGGCTAAAGACATGGTCTTTCCTGTGCTCTCACCTTCCCCACCTTGGCACCCAGGCTAACTTAGAAGAAAGCTTTCTGAGGGAGGCAGGGTGACTGGAATTGGCTGGACAAAGAGCATTGGGGGGAATTGGGGAATCAGAATGCAGGATCTAGGATGAGGAGTCAGCAGTGGTGAAATGTGACTGGGACAGTGGAGTGGGGGAAGACTGGGGCTGGGACAGTGGAATGGGAAACTAGAACAGACTAGACAAAGAGACATACTGAAACGGGAAGGCAAAGGTGGTAGAAACTGGAACTGGCTAGAAGTAAAGGGAACAAGTCAGAGCTCAGTGGATGGAGGAAGGAGGGACAGTACAAGACAGAACAGGGACGGGCAGGATTCAGGGTACCAGGAGCAGGCCGGCCTGTTCTTCCCTCCAGACTAAAGCGTGGATGAACCCAAGACGTGGGAGTTTCCTCACCCACCCACCCGCTATCAGCACCTCACCGAGAACCACTAGCAGGGCGTGCGCCTCATCCCCCTTCCCACTGCCTCCCAGGAGAGCGACAGCTTCCTACTGCCATTACTTCCTGCTTTGTCCTCAGTAGCAGAAGCCCGAGCTTCCCACTGGCGGAGGCCGGGGTCACAGCAGGTGCAGGCCTGGGGCTCCCACTTTCCCAACTTGATTTTTTTTTTTTAAATTAAAAACCTAACTGACCTCTCCCCCCGCTTTTCACCCTTGCTGCCCCAAACCACTACCCAGTGCGCACAATCCCTGTACAACAAGCTGCCGAAGTCTGCAGAGAGCCTGAGCCCCTTGCTGCACCAGGACCAGCCACCTTGAACCTGAAGCTGGGGCGTGTAACATTGCAGTGTCCCTCCCTATTGGCCTCTCCCGTCTCCCCCTGTTCTCTTCCCTATTGGTCTCTCCCGGTCCCCCCCCAGTCCCCTCCCTATTGGTCTCTCTCGTCCCCCCGTTCCCCTCCCTATTGGTTTCTCCCGGGCCTCCCTGCTCCCCTCCCTGATTGGGCCCTCTGTTCCTCCCCCCCCCCTCCTTGGAGTTGGTTGCTTCCCCCTGTCCTTTTCCCCTTCTTCCTCAGCCCCTTGGTGTCTCCTCTCCCTGATTTAATTCTCTTCCACCCATTTAATGACTCGGGTTGTTCCCTCAGTTGGGTTCATCCCTGCATTCAACCCTGATTCTTTCTATCTTCACCCCCCTCCAGAGAAGAGAATGGTCTCTCCCACCGCCCCGCTCCTTCCCCTCCCCTCCAGAACGCGGGCCGCTCTCCATACTTGGCG